GAGCTCAAGGGCTACCGCATCGGCGGGACGATTCATTTCATCGTCAACAACCAGATCGGCTTCACCACCAATCCGGTCAACGCGCGCTCGGGGCCCTACTGCTCCGACGTAGCGAAGATCATTCAGGCACCGATCTTTCATGTGAACGGCGACGATGTCGAAGCCGTCGTTCACGTCGCCAGGATCGCGACGGAGTTCCGGCAGACCTTCAAGAAGGATGTCGTGATCGACATGTTCTGCTACCGCAGGCATGGCCACAACGAGGGTGACGAGCCCGCCTTCACGCAGCCCCTGATGTACGACCGCATCAAGAAGCACACGACAGTGCGCACGCTCTATGCCGAGCGCCTGGTTCGCGAAGGCGTCGTGGCGGAGGGCGAGGCCGAAACCATCGTGCGCGAGATGTGGGAACGGCTGGACCGGGATTTCGACGCGGCCAAGGCCTATAAACCCAACCGGGCGGACTGGTTCGAAGGGGCCTGGGCCGGCTTCGACAAGGCACGCGGCTACGACGCCCGGCGCGGCAAGACGGCGGTTCCGGTGAAGACCCTGCGAGAGATCGGCGAGACGCTGACCCGGGTGCCGGACGGCTTCGCCATCAACCGCAAGATCGCCCGGCAACTCGAAGCCAAGAAAACAATGATCTCCTCCGGTGAGGGTATCGACTGGGCGACGGCCGAGGCCCTGGCCTTCGGGACGCTCGCTCAGGAGGGTCAGCCGATCCGCCTGACCGGGCAGGACTCAAACCGCGGAACTTTCTCTCAGAGGCACGCTGCCTGGATCGACCAGAAAACGGAAGAGACCTACAAGCCGCTGGAACACATCAGCAAGGATCAAGGCAAGGTCGAGATTATCGACAGCCCCTTGAGCGAGCTGGCCGTTCTCGGCTTCGAATACGGCTATTCCCTGGCGGAGCCCCAGGCGCTGGTACTCTGGGAAGCGCAGTTCGGCGATTTCGTGAACGGCGCGCAGATCATCATCGATCAGTTCATCGCATCGGGCGAGGCAAAGTGGTTGCGTATGTCCGGGCTGGTGATGCTGCTGCCTCACGGCTATGAAGGCCAGGGACCGGAACATTCCTCCGCCCGGCTCGAACGCTTCCTGCAGCTTTGCGGCGAAGACAACATCCAGGTCGTCAACTGCACCACTCCGGCAAACTACTTCCACGCTCTGCGCCGGCAGATCCACCGTAACTTCCGCAAGCCGCTGGTGGTCTTCACGCCGAAATCGCTGCTGCGCCACAAGCGCGCGGTTTCCAGTCTGTCCGACATGGCCGGCCAGAGTTCCTTCCACCGAATCCTCGCCGAGCCGACACTGCCCAGTAAGAAAGCGAAGGCGCGGCAGGTCGTGTTCTGCTCGGGCAAGGTCTACTACGACCTGCTGGAAGAGCGGGAGAAGCGGGGCCAGAACGACGTCCACATTCTACGGCTGGAACAACTCTATCCCTTCCCTGCCGACGCGCTGGTTCAGGAACTCCAGGGCTATCAGCATTGCGAGCTGGTCTGGTGCCAGGAAGAGCCGCGCAATATGGGTGCCTGGTCCTTTGCTGCCGAATTCATCGAAGAGATCGCTGCAGATTTGGGCTTCGCACAGCCACGCCCGCGCTATGCGGGTCGCCGCGTGGCAGCCTCGCCGGCAACCGGTCAGCATTCGCGCCATGTCGAGCAACAGACCGAACTGGTCGATCGGGCGTTGACGGTGGGCCTGTCTCACCTGGGCCGCATCGCCTCGCGCAAGGCCGACGAGGCGGGACAAAAGGGCATGGTCCAGGCAGCCACGAAACAACGCGGCAAGACCAAGCAGGCGGCCGAGTGAACAGACCCGGCCCGTCAAGCGAGCCCAGATCGTTCAGATGCCTGGGCAGGCAGCCGATAGCGGTTCTGGCCACCTCGGAAGGCCGGGCGAAAGCCGCGCAGGAGAAGGTACAAGATGGCGAGTGAGATCAAGGTCCCCACGCTCGGCGAGTCGGTGACGGAGGCCACCATCGGCCAATGGCTGAAGCAGGTCGGCGATAGCGTTGCCGCCGACGAAGCCGTGGTCGAACTGGAGACCGACAAGGTCACCCTGGAGGTCAATGCACCCGAGGCTGGGGTGTTGAGCGAAATCCTGGCTGGCGAAGGCGACAACGTCGAGGTCGGTGCCCTGCTTGCCCGGATCGGCGAGGGCAACGGCGCGGCTGCCAAGGCCCCGGCCCAGGCTGCGCCAACCGCAGCGCCGGCGGTACCCGAGACCGCCGCCGAAGCGCCGCCACCGGCCAGTCAGGCAGCCGCGGCGACCGGCAACGGGCAGAGCATCGACGTTCCGGTCCCCAGCCTGGGCGAATCGGTGACAGAAGCAACGGTCGCAAAGTGGCTCAAGAGCGCAGGCGAGGCCGTCAAAGCCGACGAAGCCATCGCTGAGCTGGAGACCGACAAAGTTACCCTGGAGGTCAATGCGCCGGCAGACGGCGTGCTGAGCGAAATCCTGGCCGAGGAGGATTCGACCGTCGAGGCTGGCGGCCTGCTGGCCCGCATCTCGGCTGGCAGCGCCGCGCCTGCCGCACCCTCTCCTGCTCCCACAGCTTCGGGGACCGGCGCGCCAGAAGCCGCCGCTGCAAAGGAGACTGCGCAGACCGGTAGTGCCGGGTCCACAACCGATCGGTTGGATCCCTCCGCCGTGGCGCGCAGCGGGGCCGGCGGCAAGATCACGGCCGGCGATCTGCGTGGCTGGCTTGCGGATCAGACTCCGCCCTCGGCCCAGCACCTCTCGCCTGCGGTTCAGCGCTTGGTCGAACAGCACGGGTTGGACGCCGGCCTGATCGACGCAACAGGTCCGCGAGGACGCATCACCAAAGAAGACGTTCTCGACGTGGTCGAAGGCCGAAAGCCCTTGCGCAGCCGTGCCGTTCCGCCCCCGGCCCCGGCCCCGGCACCCGCGCCGGCAACCAAGGCTCCCGCACCGGCCGGTCAAGCCGGTCCGCGCGAGGAACGGGTCAAGATGACCAAGCTGCGCCAGACCATCGCCCGCCGCCTGAAGGAAGCGCAGAACACCGCGGCGATGCTAACCACCTTCAATGAGATCGACATGGGCGGCGTGATGGCGCTGCGCGGTCGCCACAAGGAAGCCTTCGAGAAGAAGCACGGCGTCAAGCTCGGCTTCATGTCCTTCTTCGCCAAGGCCTGCGTCGCAGCCTTGGAGGCCTTCCCGGCGGTCAATGCCCGGATCGAAGGCGACGAGATCGTCTATAACAAGTTCTTCGACATCGGCATGGCCGTCTCTACGCCGCAAGGCCTGATGGTTCCGGTCATCCGTGACTGCGACGCCAAGTCCTTCGCCAGCGTGGAAGCCGAGCTGGCCGACGTGGCCGGCCGTGCCCGCGACGGCAAGATCAAGATGGAGGAACTGCAAGGCGGCAGCTTCTCGATCACCAACGGCGGGATTTTCGGCTCGCTGCTCTCCACCCCCATCCTCAATCCGCCTCAGGCCGGCATCCTGGGGCTGCACAAGATCGAGGAACGGCCCATCGCCGTGAAGGGCGAGGTCGCGATCCGTCCGATGATGTACGTGGCGCTTTCCTACGATCATCGCCTTGTCGACGGTCGCGAGGCTGTCGGCTTCCTGGTCAAGGTCAAGCAGGCCATCGAGGACCCGGAAACCCTGCTGTTGGATCTCTAAACCTCAGGATCCGAAAAGGAACCAGGCTGATCGAGACGGTTCCGGCTTTCGATGGGGGGTTTTGGCCGTATCGCTGCCCTCGAACGTGCGGGTGCCCAGGGGCTGCACCGAAACCCCGCTTTGATCTTCGTGCGGAAGCGCAATAGAACGTCAGTCCATGAGTCTTCAATTGTGTTTTCCGCGCGCGCAGCAGGCCCCGCGCGACCTTTGGGGCGACTGAGATGCAGTCGCCCATCAAGATCCTGTACTTCGGGAACATCCAAGGGCTCTTCGGGCACCAGAAGTTCTACTTGATACCTCCGCGGCTCGTGAACGGCTTCACCAGATGCGGTCACATGGTTTACGCCCTGAACGATCGCGACTTCGCGCGTTACGCCAATCCCTTTCGCAGCCGGGCCTTCGGCGCACGCAAGGTCGATGGCAAGCTGCTCGCGGTCTGCCGCGACTATCGGCCCGATCTCATCGTTCTCTCGAACTGCGAGATGGTCACGAATGAGGCGGTACAGGCCGTGCGGGCGATCCTGCCGGGGGTCCGGATTGCCTACCGTAACGTCGACAGCCTCAACATGGGCGGGAACCGCAAGAGGGTTGAGCGCCGCCTGGGGGTGGTAGACACGATCTTTCTGACGTCGAGCGTCGCGGGGCTGCAGGACCCGAGCGGCCGGACGAAACTCGCCTTCATGCCCAATCCGGTCGACCGGAGCCTTGATCGCGGCCGCGCCTTCGAGACGACCAACCCTCGATACGACCTCTTTTTCGCCGGTCAGGCGATCCGAGACCAAGTGGATCGGCGACCCGCGACTCTTGCCAGACTGCAAGGCGAACTGGGCGATCTGAAACTCGGTTTCTTTGGCTCGGTGGTCGGCAAGCCGTCGCTGTTCGGGCAAAGCTATCTCGATGCGCTGGCGGACTCGGCAATGGGCCTCTCGCTCGACCGGGAGGACGAGCACCCGCTCTACGCCTCGGATCGTATGTCGCACTACCTGGGAAACGGCTTGTTGACCTTCGTGAAGCGCGGCAAAGGGTTCGAGCGCTTCTTCACCGAGCAGGAGGTCGCTTGGTTCGACGGCGCCGATGACCTGATCGAGACAGTTCGGCGGCTGGCTGTGGAGAGCCATGAAAGGCGGCGAATCGCGGAGGCCGGGTGGCGCCGTGCCCACGAACTGTTCGACTGCACGCGCATCGCCGCCTGGATGGTCGAGCTGAGTCTCGATCGGCCCTTCAGTCAGCAATACCCTTGGGTCGATACCTAAGCAGATAACTGAGGCCTGTTTTTTCGCTCAGCCGGACTTTTCCAGCACCATGACGCGCGAGAAGTAGGCGCGCTCGACCGACAGAGTTTTCAAGCCGACCTCGCCGAAGAGCGCCTCAAGATCTGTTTCGACATAACTGCTGTAGTAGGGCTCGTGAAAAGCCACGGGAAAGTAGTCCAACAGGCCGTCGTAGGACGGCTGATCGCCCTTCTGAATAGAGTCCACGAACAGCAGTCGCCCGCCGGGCTTCAGGATGCGGGCCATCTCTCTGGCGACCTGCGGCCGCACCTTTGGCGGAAGTTCGTGGAACAGAAAGATACAGCTCGCGAGGTCGTAGCTAGCATCCGGCAAACCGGTGGCCTCGGCCGCCGCCTGGCGCGTCTCAACCCCGCGCCAGCGTCGTAGGTTGTGCGCGGTCTGCGCAAGATAGTCGGGACTGAGATCGAGTGCCGTGACCTGCAGCCGCGGATAGTTGTCCTTGACGAAGGTCAGGAAACGGCCGGTTCCGCAGGCAATGTCGATCATACGCGTTTCGGCCGAACGGCGGTCGTGGAGAAAGGCGCTCAAGGGCACCAGAGCCTGGCGGCGCATGGCGTCGGCTCCGCCGGTGAAGAGCACCTCGACCTGATGATCGTAGATTGCAGCCGAATCCGGGGAGAGCCAGCCGTCGGACTGGAAGTGAAAGTTCTGCAGGTAGTAGCGCGGGTAACGGGCGCGATTCACACGACTCAAGACCTCGTCGTGCCCGCCACTATGCCGACGCCGCTCGACCGAACGCAGATCTCGGAAGTAGCGCGCCGCACGGCGCAGCGCGCCCACCGGCTCCTCCAGCAGATCGTGAGGCATGCGGTAGAGACCCGCGTCGATGTTCTCCCAATCGCGCTGCAACAGCCCGCGCAGATCGGCCAGGATCTCGTCCTGGCCGGCAAAGGGTCCCTGGATCGGTCGCTTCGGTTTGACGGGCCGGGTCAGACGGGCCGACAGCGCGTACTGTCCGAAGTATACGCCGACCCGCGCAGTCTGACCGAGAGCGTAGGCTGCTCGCGCAACGCTCGACATCCCTCTCTCCGCTCCTCTCGTCTCCGGCATGTCCGATTATCTCCCTTTCAAGCTGCTCCGCAAAGCACGGCGAGTCGGCCCGCGCAGAACGCGCTCGGGCAGCAGTTTCGCGATCCCGCGATAGGCGCGGTTGCTCGCCCCGATCGTCACCACGTTCTGCCGACCGAGAGCCCGTAGCGCCTGATCCGCGACCTCTTTCGCCGAACTCATCGGCGAACCCGAGGGCGCTCGGAGACTACCTGCCCGCTCGAAGAAGCGGGTCTTCGTCGGACCTGGACAGACAGTCAGCACATCGACCGGTTCGTACTCCAGCTCGCTCGCCAACCCTTGAGCGTAGAAGTAGTCGAAGGCCTTGGTCGCGGCGTAGGTCGCGAGGTACGGCAAGGGCTGAAAGGCCGCCGTGGAAGCGACCATCACCAGACCGGCCCTTCGACCCTCCTCGCGGGCACGTTGCAGCATGTCGGGCAGAAGGGCACGCGTGATCACCGTCGGGGCTACCACGTTCACCTCGATCATCGCCCGCTCGGTCAAGGGTTCATTCTCGACCGCCCGACCGAAGGCGCCGAGCCCGGCATTGTTGATCAGCAGATCGGGCGCAAAGGTTCGGGAGGCGGCGATCAAAGAGTCGCGGCCCTTGTCTTCGGACAGATCGGCCACCAGCCTCTCGATATGGCGTCCAGTCCTATGCAGCGCGTCAGCCAGCGCTTCCAGCGCCGTGTCGCTGCGGCCCGTGAGCAGAAGATCCGTTCGGTCCGGCAGAGCGCGCGCAAAGGCCTCTCCGATGCCGCTGGAAGCGCCGGTGATGACGGCCCGCCGGTAAGACCCGCGGTGATCGTTGCGTCGTGTCATGTCGCTAATGTGTTCCCGTCACGCCCGAGATCAATCACCGGGCAAGCGCAGAGGAGAAGGGTGCTGTGCAACGGCTAGAACCAAGCCCCGGCCAGGAATCGGTTTGGGACTACCCTCGTCCGCCACGGCTCGAATCGGTGGCGGATCGACTGGAGGTGCTCTTCAACGGCGTCACGGTAGCCGACACCACCCGAGGACTGCGCGTACTCGAAACCAGCCATCCCCCCACCTACTACATCCCGCCGGAGGACGTGCGCACAAAGCTGCTGAAACCGGCACCGGGCCGATCACTGTGCGAGTTCAAGGGTGAGGCAGCCTACTGGACCCTGACGGTCTCGGGCCGCGTCTCGGAGCGAGCTGCTTGGTCCTACCCTTCGCCGTGGCGGCCCTTCGAGGCCTTGAAGAAGCACTACTGCTTCTATGCCAGCCGGGTCGACGAGTGCCGCGTTGCCGGCGAACGCGTTCGATCCCAGGAGGGCGACTTCTACGGCGGATGGATCACGAGCCGCGTCGTCGGCCCCTTCAAAGGCGCCCCCGGCACGATGGGCTGGTGAACCTCGGTGGGCAAAGACCTCAGCCCCGGGATCTAAGCCCCGAGACCTAAAGCGTGGAAGCTAGAGCTTGGGATAGACCCGACGCGTGGGCTTGATGCTGACGGACTGGAACAGCCCCGCTTCGGCGTAGGGGTCCTGCTGAGCGAAGGCCTCGGCGGCGGTTCGATCCGGTACGTCGAGAATGATCAGGCTGCCGGCCGGCGTGTCGCCGTCCTCGCCGATCAAGGGTCCCGCATAGACCAGCTGGTCGGAGTGTCGCTCCAGGAACTGGAGGTGCCGGGGACGATTGTCCTTGCGAACCTCAGTCGTGCCCGGCTTGTCCGTACAGACAAGCGCAAACAGCATCGTCTCCGCCTCCACCAACGTTTCGTAGCTCTTCCGACTGGAAGCCTAGAGCGCGATCGGGTTCGATGGAAGCGGCTTTGCCTCCATCGAACAGGTAAATCGCGCTCTCGCCCTATGATTAGAGTCGGATTCACATCTGAGACGGATCGCTAAGCGAGTTCACCTCAGGTGATCTTGCCCTAAACCGGCCGATGCAGAGGGGCCAAGCCCGTTCGCTCCGCTTCGTTCTTGCGGTTTCGAGCTAAAGGCTGAGGTTAAAGGCGATCGAAATGCGCGTCGCTTTTCCGAAGTAGGGACGCACCGCATGACTTAGCCAGGAGGGGAACATGACCATGAGGCCGGCGCGAGGGCTGATGGTTTCACTGGCACCCATCGCCGCCCCACCGGTCGCCGCCACAGTCAGGCGCGGCGCATACATGGCCGGAGCGACACCCCGCGGATCTTGAATTTCGAACTCACCGCCAAGCGAGGGGTCGGCTGCGATTCCTCCATCGTCCACGTAGTAGACGCCCGACCAGAAGCAGCCAGGGTGCGTGTGGAACTCATTTCCGTGCCCGCTGCGATTCACATTCGCCCAGGCGTTGACCTGCCAATCCGGGCGTACCTTGGCCCCCTGCCGGTCGCAGGTCAGATCCTCGGCCAGCCGCTTGGCGCCGTTCAACAGAGCCGCAGCCGCTTTCCCGCCCCACTCGGCGAAGTCCCAACTGGACTGCCATCCGCCCAAATTCGAATGGACGCTGCCGGCATGCGTTCGTTCTCGCTCCAGCACGATCCGTTTGAGATCGGCGTTGAGAGGCTCCGCGTTGGGGAGTTGCAGCAAGGCGACCGGTGTCGGAAAGAGCAGCCGGAGCTGGACTTGGGCTTGCTGTCCGGCCGACTGCCGCGTATCGCGCTGCTGGAGTGGTTCGGTCACGCCGTGATCTCCAACTCGCCGTCCGGCGTCCGCAGTTCCTCCAGCGGCCAGCGCGGCCGCGCCGGGACATCGAGAGCATCGCGCTGCCCCAGGCGCAGACGCTCCAGCCCGGCCCAGGCGATCATCGCCGCATTGTCGGTACAGAGCTTGGGCGGAGGCGCCACCAGCTCGGTTCCCGCAGCCTCGGCCAGCTCCGACAGCGCCTGACGCAACGCGCGATTGGCCGCCACACCGCCAGCCACGACCAGCGGGCCCGGCCGCCCCGTATCCTCGCGAAACCGAACCAGAGCGTTGCGGCTGCGATCGATCATCACCTCCGCCACCGCAGCCTGAAAGCTGGCGGCAAGATCCGCACGGTCCTGCGGCGACAACTCGACCAGTCGTTCGACCTGCTGGCGTACCGCCGTCTTCAGTCCGGAGAAGGAGAAGTCGCAGCCGGGGCGGCCCTTCAGGGGGCGCGGCAAGGCGAAGCGTGACGGGTTTCCGGACTCGGCGGCACGCTCGACTGCGGGACCGCCGGGATAGCCGAGCCCCAGCAGTTTCGCCGTCTTGTCGAAGGCCTCGCCGACCGCATCGTCAATCGTGCCACCGTAGCGGCGATAGCGCCCGACCCCCTCGACGGCGAGCAGTTGGCAATGTCCCCCCGAGACCAGGAGCAGCAGGTAGGGAAAGTCCAGATGGTCGGTCAGACGCGCCGTCAGGGCGTGGCCCTCCAGATGGTTGACTGCGACGAAGGGCAGGTCGCGTGCCGCAGCAATGGCCTTGCCGGTCATGGCAGCCACCAGGACGCCGCCGATCAACCCAGGCCCGAGCGTGGCTGCGACGCCATCAAGATCGCCGAAGCCGACGGCAGCTTCCCGCAACGCCTTGACGATAAGGCCATCCAGATGGTCCAGATGGCTACGTGCGGCGATCTCCGGAACCACTCCGCCATAGGGGCGGTGTTCCGCTAGTTGCGAAAGCACGATATTGGCACGGATGTCGCCCGCGTCGTTGACCAACGCGACCGCCGTCTCGTCGCAGGAAGACTCCAGACCAAGGACCAGCATGCTGCTTACATGGGCAAGTCGCACCGCCTTTGGCAAGCGTAGGCTTTTCGGCATCCTGGCGCTGATCCTGATGGCCACCGGCAGCGGACCGGGCGCTAGCGGATCGGCCGGCGCCCAAACCGGCCTCGCCCAGGTCCCCGGCGGCAGCGGTGCCTGGTTGTCGCCTGCGCCGGCGCTGAACGGCAACGATCCGCTCGCGCTGGCCGACCCACAGTCAACGGCGGTGCTCGTCTTCCTGCCCGGGAGTTCCGCCGAAGGCAAACCCGACAGCTGTCGGCCGCTAGAGCCTCGTCTTGGAACCACCCCCAATGTCGTGCGCAAGCTGGCTGGGCAGACAATTGGCGGAAAGACTCTCGCCGTCTTCGGCTTCTGCAGCGACACGAAGCTCGGCAGCTTCCGTAAGGACCGCTATGCCGGCCAACCCAAAGTCATCGGCCGGCGGAACGACCTTCGCACGTTGGTTCGCGCCTTTCGCGACACCGGCCTGCCGGCCGGGCAGCTGTTTCTCGCGGGTCATTCGGCAGGTGGCTGGGCCGCGCTTCTGCTGCAGCGCCAATACCCCGCCGAGATCAATGCCGTCATTGCCTTCGCACCGGCTTTCACCGGACCGCGCGCCAACCGCACGGCCAGCTGGAACCGGCTTCGGCAGGAGATGGTCGATCATCTCGGCGAAGCCGCCAGGCTCCAGGCGCTTGTCATGGCCGTAACGGACGATCCCTACAACCGGCCTCAGGATCTCGCCTTCCTTGAAGCTGTTCCAGGCGTCCATCTGATCGGCTTGGCGAGCGACAGCCTCGCAGGCCGCGTCTGTCAGGGAGGCAGCCCGCATCAGCTGGTCTACCAGGACTGCTTCACCGAAACGCAGGGCGAGAAAGTAGCCGGTTACCTGGAGCAGCGGCTCCAGAGCGCCGTCGAAGCGACCCGACGGGATCCCTAAAGCGGCGCGATCCTTCGCGAGGGGGATCAGCCGCAGGCACCCACTCCGGCGAAGACGTCGGATCGCATCACATCGACCCTCGGTCGCTTGCAATGCTCGCACAGGCTGCGTAACCCTTGCTGTGCCATGACCACGACAGCCCCAAGGATCCGCCTCGGAACCCGAGGTAGCCCGCTCGCCCTCGCCCAAGCCACCGAGGTTCGGCGCCGCCTGATCGCCGCTCATCCGGAGTTGGCGGAGGAGGAAGCGGTCAAGGTGATCGAAATCAAGACCACAGGCGATCGCGTGACCGATCGACCATTGGCGGAGGTCGGCGGCAAAGGCCTCTTTACCAAGGAGATCGAGGGGGCACTGGCAGCCGGGGAGATCGACGCCGCCGTCCATTCCATGAAGGACGTGCCGACTTGGCTCCCGGATGGCTTGGAGCTAGCCGCTTACCTGCCACGCGAAGACGTGCGCGACGCCTTCTTTTCGCCACACGCGGACTCGGTCGCAGCACTGCCCGAGGGCGCCCGTGTCGGCAGCGCCTCTTTGCGCCGCCAAGCCCAACTGCTTCTCATCAGGCCGGATCTGAAGGTCGGGCTGATCCGAGGCAACGTCGAGACCCGTCTGCGCAAGCTGGAAGCCGGCGAAGTGGACGCCACCCTGTTGGCTGTGGCCGGTCTGAACCGTCTGGGCCGAAGCGCGGCGATCCAGACGCGCCTCTCAACCGAAGAGATGCTGCCGGCCGTGGGCCAGGGAGCGGTCGGTCTGGAAGTGCGCGCGAATGATGAACAGACGTACAAATACGTACGTGCACTGAACGATCCTTGGACGGAAGCTCGCGTTTCTGCAGAACGGGCTTGCCTGGAGGTTCTGGAAGGGTCGTGCCGTACTCCCATCGCGGCACTGGCCGAAGTTGCCGGAGGCGACCGCTTGCGCTTCCGGGCCCTCGTCGCCGAACCGGACGGCTCGGCCGCCTGGCGCAGCGAACGCGAAGGCCCGCTGTCCGACGGTCTGCATCTGGCGCGCGACGCCGGTGCGGAACTTCGCAAGTCGGCCGGGGAGGCCTTCTTCGAGCGGCTGGCCGACCTCTTCTGATGCGCCTCCTGATCACGCGTCCGCGCGATGAGGCTGAGCGCTTCGCGGAAAATCTGCTAGCCCTGGGGCACACCCCAGTCCTGGCCCCCCTGCTCACCATTGAAACCCGTCAAGAGAGACTGGACCTGGAGGGCATTGGCGCGCTCGTCTTCACCAGCCTGAATGGCGTGCGCGCCTTCGTCGGCAACAGTTCGGAACGTGATCTGCCGGTCTACGCTGTGGGAACCCGCACGGCGACGGTCGCGCGGACGGCCGGCTTCACCGACGTGCGGTCAGCAGGCGGAAACGTCGAGAACCTGGTCGAGCTGATTGCGTCGGATCGTGCAGCCGGCGCAGGCCCGTTGTTGCACGTGACCGGGGTTCACTCGGCCGGCGACCTCTCCGGGCTTCTGAGCCGCCAGGGCTATGAGGTGCGCCGAGCGACCCTCTACGAGGCGAAAGCGGTTGATAGCCTGCCCGACGCAGCGCGTACGGCTCTGCAAGCCGGAGACGTCGATGGCGTTGCCTTTTTCTCTCCACGTACAGCAGCTAGCTTTGTTAGGCTTGTACGCACGTCCGGACTGGAGCAATCCACAGAAGGCCTGACAGCCTTCTGCCTCAGCCCAGCCGTCGCGGCTGAAGTGAAGAGCGTAACCTGGGCAAGCGTACGGGTTGCCGCATCCCCGACTCAAGCGGCCTTACTCGCGGCACTCGCCGGGACTCAGCAGACAGCGCAAGAGGACGACAGCATGGCGCAGGACAGCGAAACGCCCGGCAAGGATCAAACCGAGAGAGACGAGGCGAAGAAGACGGCAGAGAAGCCGGACGACAGTCCCGGCGAGACCGAGGATCCAGGTCATGGGAAAACGCCGGATCGCGGGTCCGTACAAGCCGCCGCCGGAGGCGCGCCGCAGGCTGCGGCGGCAGGAGCGGCCAGCGGTTCCGCCGCGACCACGGCTCCGAGCTCGAAGACGCCAGCGTCCGCAGCGGAGCAGGTCATCAGCCGCTTCGGCGGCCTCCGCCCGACTGCAACCAAGCTGGGCGTGGCAGTCTCGACCGTCCAGGGCTGGAAGGCGCGCGGCCACATTCCGGAAACGCGCCACGACGATCTGCGCGCCGCTGCCAAAGCACATGGCATCGAGATCGACGACATCGACCTGACAACAACGCAAGCTTCGGGCCCACCCGAAGAGGCTGCGCCGCCTGTTCCCGTCAACCCTTGGGCGGAGCCAGCCGGCAGTGCCGGTAAACCGGCCGGCCGTGAGCCCGCCAGCGCGCCAGGCTCCGGCGGAACGTCTTCCGGATCGACCCCGGATGCGTACCGCCAAAGCCAGACAGATACCAACGCGACGAACGCGAGCGCGGGACCGGAAGATCGCCAAGACGGCGGCCAGGACGACGACGATGCGGCGAACGACGGATATCAGCGAGAGCACGACCCGGCGCGCACGAACGCGCCGCGCGGCGGCGGCCTCGTATTGGGACTGGGCCTGGCGATCGTCCTTTTCGCCGGAGGTGCCGTAGCCACCGTCTACACGCGCGACTACTGGGAGCCGTTCCTGCCGACAGGCCCGGACGCGACCTTGCAGACGGAGGTAACCGACCTGGGCGACCGGGTTGCCCGCCTGGAAGCGGCACCGCCCGACATCGATCCGGCCCGTCTGGACGGGCTGTCCGATCGACTCGATGGACTCACGGAAGACCTGGCGGCGCTCTCCGACGGTGCAAACGCCGCCGCTGCGGTCGCAGAGCTGGAGCAACGCCTTGGCGACCTGACGGCCCAGGTCCAAGCAAGCGCCGCGACAGCCGATGCAGGGGGCGGGCCGCCCTCCCCGCCGGGCGTGACCCCCGAGGCGGTGAGCCGGCTGGAAGACCAGATCGCGGAGATGACGGCGGGTCTCCAGGACCTGCGCGGCACGGTGATGGAAACAAGCGCCTCTGCCGCGGCCGCGGCAGAGGCCGCAGCGGAGGCCGCAACCGCCGATGAAGCCGCGCTGTCGGAGTTGCAAAGCGAACTCTCCTCACTGCAAGGACGTCTGCAGGAGGTTCAAGGCCAAGCGGAACGGGCCTTGAGCGCCAGCGCCGGGGATAGTGGGCTGGCCTTGGCCCTGGGGCAACTGCGCGACGCTCTACGGTTCTCGGCTCCCTTTGAGACAGAACTGCAGGCCGTCCGTGTATTGATTCCCTCCGGCGACCCTCTTTTGGAGGCGCTCACCCCCTTGGAAACCCACGCCGGCCGCGGCGTACCGACACGAGAAGAGCTTGCCGCCCGTTTCGAACCGATGGCCCGCACGGCCGTCGCCGCCAGCTACGACGACAGCTGGAGCGGTCGGCTTATGTCGCGCGTGTCAGAGGCGGTCAGCATCCGTCCCGTGGGCGAAGTTGAAGGCGACAGCGCGCGCGCGCGCATTGCACGCGCCGACGCGCGCCTAGACAACGATGACTTGGCGGGAGCCGTCGAGGCCCTATCGGGCTTGCAAGGCGACGCAGCGGCGATCGCCGAAACTTGGGTCGCCGACGCCACGGCGCGTCTGGCCGGTGAAGAAACGCTGAGTGAACTGACCCGGCGGACACTGGCACGTCTGGCACCCGCGACGGGTTCGGCCGCGACAACCGAGTAGAAGAAGGACCGCCGACGATGATCCGCGCACTGGTTTACTTCGGTCTGGTCGCCGTCGCGATTGCAATCGCCTATCTGCTGGTGATCGTGGCACCCGGCGAGGTCTCCGTTCAATGGCTCGGCTGGCAGCTCCGGACCTCGATCGCCGTTGCCATTCTCGCTTTGCTCTTTGTCTGTGCCTTGACGGCGGTCGGCTACTACGGCTGGCGCCTGCTCCGCCGCGCCCCTAAGGACTTCTGGAACCAGCAAGGTCAGGAACGGCGTAACCGGGGCTATCGGGCGCTCAGCCATGGCCTGGTGGCCGTCGCGGCCGGCGATCCGCACGAGGCTCAGCGCTGGGCAAAGAAAGCTCACAAGCTGTTGGACGACCAACCCCTGTCGCGT